GAGACGAGCGCGCCCCATCCCGCCTTTCGGGTGGGGCGCTTGCTCTCTGCGGCAGCGGCCACACAAGCATCGTTTTCGCCGTCGCCGCGTTGCACGTAGATACCGCTCTGCGTTTGCGTGCGCGTCCCCAACTCTCTTCAGGCCGTCGTCGTCGTCGTCGCCGCCGCCGCCGCCGCCGTCGTCGTCGTCACGTCGTCGTCGTCGTCGTCGTCGTCGTCGTCGTCGTCGTCGTCGTCGTCGTCGTCGTCGTCGTCGTCGTCGTCGTCGTCGCCCCCGCGCCCACCCGAGTCGCCGCGTGGCGCCCTGCGGCCGCGCCGCCGTGACGGGGCGTCGCCGCCCTCCGCGGGCGGGGCCACGGCGCCTGGGCCGAGGAGGGACCTCCTCCCCCCCCTTCCCCTGCCCTCCCATGCCCCTCCAGCCCCCCCCCTCCTCCCCTTCCCTCCCATACCCTCCTCCCCTTCCCTTTCCTTTCCATACCCTTCCACCCTCCCCCCCTCCCCTTCCCTCCCATGCCCTTCCAGCCCCCCCCCCTCCTCCTGACGAGCTGACGAGCGACGAGCTGACGAGCTGAAGGCATGAAGGTTCGTCGCACGTGGCCTCCTGACGAGCTGACGAGCTGAAGGCATGAAGGTTCGTCGCACCTCCCCGCGCGGTCCCCGAACCCCCGCGCGGACCAGGAAGCCCAAAGAAGTCCCCAGGAATTCTCCACGAGACCTCCAAGAGGCCCCCAGGTTGTCAAGAGTCTTCCAGAGGGTGCCCACGGGGGCCCCAAGAGGCCTCCAAAGGCACTCCTGAGAGGGCCCCAAGAGGCACAAAACATTGATTTTCCTTATGTGTTTGACAGATTTGGGCGTTCTCGTCTTTTCTGCTTCCCGTCGCCCCAAGACAGCCGAAGAGGCCCTCAAGATCGCCCTAAGACGACCCAAGAGGCTTCCAGGATCGCTCCAACACATCCCAAGAGAATCCCAAGGCAGCCCAAACGCCTCCAAGACAGCCCAAGAGGCCCCCAAGACGGCTCCAAGAGCGTGCCTTGACGGGGAACCCGAACGGACATTTCGAGCCCTCGCCAAGAGGCTCCCAAGAGGCCCCAAGAAGCACACGAGAAGCCCCCAGGACACCTGAAAAGGTCCCCCCAAGGGGCCCCCAAGAGGCTCCCAGACCTCCAGAATTCACCCCCAGAGGCCACCGAGAGCCTTCCCAAGAGACCCCAAGAAGCATCCCTAAGGACTCGGGCCCACGTCAGCGCCGTCGTCGTCGCTGCCGCCACCGCCGCCGTCGTCGCCGACGTCCCATTTCAGGGTCGGCGGCATCGGCCGCAATGCCTTCGCAATCTTCTGTTTCTTCTTCTTCCTCCTCCTCCTCCGCCTCCTCCTCCTCCTCCTCCTCCCCCTCCCCCCCCTCCCCTCCCCTCTCCCCTCCCCTCCTCCCTCGCCTCTTCCCGCCTCCCCACGCCTCTTCATTTTCTTGGACATGCCGCATCCCGCCCATACCCCACCTCCTCCTCTTCTTCCTCTTCCTCTCCTCCTCCTCGTCCTCCTCCTCCTGCTCACCCCCTCCTCCTCCTCCTCCTCCTCCTCCTCCTCCTCCTCCTCCTCTTCCACGGCATGTTGCCTGGCATTCCCTCATCCTTCTCCTCCGCAGGTGCTGCTGAGTCAGAGGGCGTCACCGCGTCTTGCTAACCAGTGATGGAAGCTCGGCGTCTTTCCTCTTACTCCCGCCTCCCAAAATTACTTTGTATCGTGTGTCGCTGAGCGTTGCAATATGCTCCCGTAGGCTCAGTTTGAGGCGCCGCGAAGCTCTGGTCCGTGACACCGTGACGCCCAGGACGCCGTGACGCCCGAGCCCAGGGGTATCCAGCAACATGTAAGTGCGGCCCTAGGGTATTCATCAGACTAGACCGTTCATCCTTCTCTTCTCGTCCGTCTCTAACGCTTGATCGAGTCTGCTGGCACGTACCGGTGCTGCATGCAAGGGGATCTCAAGTGGACAGTTGGTAGCCCAGGATCGTCTCTGATTATTCTCGCGCCTTGAGCGTGTCTGCCTGGTTGGAAAAAGCATTCGCCAGTGGTCGTACAGTCCCCTTCAGCAGTTCTCCTCCTCCTCCTCCTCCTCCTCCTCCTCCTTCTCTCCCCTCCATGCTCCCACCTTTCCCTCCCACACCCACCCACCTAGCCTCCCTAACTCTAGGGGTCTGGAAGGCCATGGCGGCGACAGTGAGGGCTGGCGGGGGTCGAGGGATGGAATGGGCAGGAGAGTGAGCGTGCCACTCAGAGTCCAGGAGGGTGAGCGTCTTCTTCTCGGACTTCCCCCGCTGTTCGCCGAAACGACATGCTGGTTGTGGAATCCACAAACTGCCCCAAATTGGCGTCGCGCAAAAAGATCTCCATCACAGTGACCAATGCCAATCGGAAGAATCTGGAGAGAATATCCGTGCGTGTCTGCGCGACTCTCTGATGGAGCCGAGTATGTCCTCATGAAAACGGAGCCCTTATTCACCATCGCAACAGATTGCTCGCTCGAAAGAGGTGGCCTTGTCCACCATCGTGGCCACCTGTGTGACGGTCTCTCCGAGGCCAGAGAATCATTATTGGAGGGGCATCGGTGGCAATGTAGACCCGGAGTCCGGAGCCAGAACCGAAGCGACGTACTGGTGTTGCAGGCTCTCTGCCCCGCGCGCCGCCGCGACCACCTGCCCGAATCTGCCGCATAATCCTGGCCCTGCGTGAGCAAACCTAGTCGTGCCCGACCTCTGTCCATTGGTCCACTGGGGGCGGGCAGGAGAGGGGCAGGGAGGCAGTCTCGCCCAAACGTTGTATTCACTTCTCGACGCGTGTATGTCGTCCTGGCGCAGGAAGCCATAAACGTGGCGCTGCGGACAACCGAGGCCTGCGAGAAAAACTCGATCCTTGAACATGCAAGTGACAGGGGATCCTTGAGTTGCCTTTCAGATGGGGAGAAGAAGGGGGGCGGGACGAGGGGAACCGGAGAAACACCGAGATATCATATCCGATGTCGCAGGGCCGTTTTTTCACCCCGCGCTGTTTTCGGACGGCCCCGAAGCTCGAAACCAGCCTCCAGAGGCTAAAGCATGGCGATGAGCGCGCCGCCTCAATATTTTCATGGCGCTGGCAAAACAAGGACAACCAGTAGCCATGAAGCAGCATGTTTTTTGCATGACAGCCCGTAGACATAAGCAAACAAAGTCCGACACGATGACGCTTCGGACGTTTTTCAAAAACGCCTGATCGTTTAGCGACGACGGATTGGCATGAACAATCTGGAGTTTGATCTGAGGAGGCGGCGGTCTCCGCGGGCGCCTGTCCCGGCGCCGCTCGGCGGCGGGTCGTCGGCGGCGCAGGCCTCAAGCTCGGCCAGGCCGAAGCCCCCGGCCGCAAGTGCGCCCTGCGCGGCGGCGGGCCCAGCTGGAGCAACAACGGACGAGGACGACGACGACGACGACGACGACGACGACGACGACGACGACGACGACGACGGCGACGACGGACGTCCACGACCACGACCACGACCACGACGACGACCACGACGACGACGACGACGACGACCACGACCACGACGACGACCACGACCACGACGACGACGACAGACGACCACGACCACGACCACGACGACGACGACGACAGCGACCACGACGAACACGACCACGACGGCGACGACGACGACGACGACAGACGACCACGACCACGACGATGACGACGGACAACCATGACCACGACGACGACGACAGACGACGACGACAGACGACCACGACCACGATGACGGACGACAACGACGACGACGATGACGACGGACGACCACGACGACGACGATACCGAGGACGGCGGACGTCCAGGACGACGACGACGACGACGACGACGACGACGACGACGACGACGACGGACGATCACCTTCGAAAATAGAAGAAGGAACGACTGCATAAACATGATCTTTCGACGGTCCGCGCGCGTAACGTGCCAGGGGCGGCGCCGAAGGCGCCGCCGGGGAAGCCCCAGTGCCGATCCAAGAAATCCACGCGGACCGTCGAACATTTATGCTTATGTTGTTTCATCATCTCCGACAAAACGAAGGGTTCCTGCTGCCCTCTGGCCCAACCCGCTGGCCAGCGCGAAAGCATTGCAACTCATTGCGACATCAAAGCGCTCCGCCTTCAGCATGGCAAAGACCCAGACGGACCAAACGGACCCAGACTGTTTTTGATGGCCTCCAAGATGGACCGAGAGAGTCCCAGGGACAGCATCGTGAGATTTCTCCATGATCCACCAAGCCGCAAGTCTACCTATATCCGACTCTGATGCGTTCATGTTCCTGTGCCACATCCGCTCTGCTCATCCCACCCTGTCCAGCCACTATGCCAAACTCCTCCTCCTCCTCCTTCTCCTCCTTTTTCTCCTCCTCCTCCTCCTCCTCCTCCTCCTCCTCTTCTATCGGAAGAGAAAGAGGGAAGGAAACCGCAACGCGCATTCAGAAGCGGCCTGCGTAAGTGTGGGTATGCTACCGTTGCGTCTGCTGGGCGGGCGGGGAGTGCTTGAAAAGAAAAGACGCGCAATGGAACAGAAGACGCGGGAGGAGGAGGGGAGGAAGTGGCATGACGGCGCAAAGCACAGCTCCAACCGATTGAGCAGAAGCGGTTCCTCTGTATCCGCCTGCTCGCGCAGCCTCCTCTCCTTGATGAGCCGATACCTGAGCGCCGTTGCCGTCGAGCATGTATGCAAGATGGCACGACAATCTGTCACTCAAGGGGGAGCTGTCAAGGAGTTCCAGACCAAGAAACGCATCTCCAACACCTGCCTCAGCTGTGACGTGCGTAAGTCATAAACGCCAGGGCTGCACTGTCGCGCTCCCAGTCGCCAGGGCTGCACTCTCGCGCTCCAAAGCTACAGAAAAGCTTTAGGAAATCAGGGAGCCTGTATGCGGGCCACGCGATCCTTCCCTTCCTCAGCCACCAGACCTCCGCTCATAATCGTTCTTATGTTGTCCGCCACCCCGCTGTGCCACGAACTGCGTGTGTGCGAGAGGGGTACAAAAGAGGAGACAGAGAGAGAGACAGGAAAACAAGAGAGAGTGTGCGTGTGTTTCTTTGTGTAAGGATGTGTGCGTCCGCCTGGGCATGTCGCACCATTTGCACGCGGATGCTCTTGCGATGCCGCCCTCGTCCTCTCCTTCGCTGCTGCTGCGTTTGCACTTTCCCCTCTTTCCCTCGTGGCGTGTTTGGGTCAGCGCCTCCTTGTAGAAGCGCGGGTCAGGCCCTTCAGTATGCTCCTTCAAACAACCCGCACTTTGACATCGCCCTCGCCCCCTAATCGGATTTGCACCCGCATCGCGTCGGCCCACCTTGGAAGCAACTCCCTGCCTGTGTGTGTGTGTGTGTGTGTGTGTCTGTCGGGACCCTTGTGTATAAATTGTGTAGATTCCTCCCAGGTTGCTTACAACCATGTCGCCCAACGCATAGAGGCTGAGCTGCTTCTACGTTTAGCTGCAAGACCTTTGGCCATGGGCACGCCGACGGACACACGATGCCAAAAGAGAAGCTCACAGGTTGGACGACCCACGCCCCAATCCCACCCTCGCTTAGCTGCCCCGGTGCGCAACACGCAACACGTAGCATGTTGACACGGAGCTGAACACGGAGGTTGAAACGCACACACCCACACCCACACACAGACCCACACCCACACCCACACCCACACCCAAAACCACACCCACCCACACACCCACACACCCACACACCCACACACCCACACACCCACACACCCACACACACACACACCCACAACCACACCCACCCACACACCCACACACCCACACACACACACGCAATTGGCGCGATGCGTTCGCAAAAACATGGGCCAACACGTTCAGACAACACGCAACGTGTCAACATGGAGGTTTCGAACACGATACACGTTGCGTCTCAAAACGGGCGCCCCAGTACCACCCCCGATCCTCCCCAGCCCCGCCCGCAGTGTGGTGGCGGATACGCGCGGCAGCGCAGTTGGATTATCCTCGTCTCCGCCTCCCGCCGTCGTCCTCGTCGTCGTCCTTGTCGTCCTCGTCGTTGTCTTCGTCGTCGCCGTTCTCGTCCTCGTCCTCGTCTTCGTCCTCCTACTCGTCGTCGTCATCGTATGTCGTCGTCACCGCCAAGGCCGCCGTTGTTGTCGTCGTCGTCGTCGTTGTCGTCCTGCTCCTCATCCTCGTATCCCCCAGGGGCCTGTCAAGACAAGGCCCGATGCCTGCGGGGCAACTGTGCCAAGACATCTGTCACGACGCGATGTGGTAACGGAACGCATTCGCACTTGCAAGCACAGTGCAGACGCGAAAGATGTCTGTAGCGTACGCAGACTGCTTTACCCTGGAATGCACATTCGTAGTAGAAGGAACGAATCGCAACGCCAATGCTGCTCTTCTTGCCTGAGCGATCTTAACATATCTTAACACAAGCTGAAGGCGGCATGCGAAATATAATATCACATCCAGTTTGAAGCTTAGAACAAGCTCACACGAAACGTACACATGAAATTCACTGTTTCAGGTTACAGGGTTGCGGAGGTGCGTTGGTCCACTTGTCACTGTCTTGCGGCGTAGTGCGAAGCACTACAACTGAACTGTATTGCATTACTGTGCTTGGCCTGCGTTATTTCCACTTGAGGTTGTTTTGCAACTGGCATGGGATGTGCTGCTTTGCTTCCGCGCGCGGTGCAACGCAATGCATTGCAGTGCAAGTGTGTCGTGTCGCAATGCGCAGCGCTCCTACTGCATTGCGCAATGCAATGCTATAGAAAAGCGTGCGAAGCGATGCGATTCAAAGAAATGCGAAGCACAACAAATGTAAGGCGGGCGCGGTCTTACAAGGCTTGTAAAAGTCCTGGAACGCATAGGGACGGCGCGGGCCCGTCAGACGTACGCACAGAGAGGCGACCTCTTACTCCCCCCCCTCCCCCTCACTCCTCCTGTCCCCCAGAGGAGCCATCGAAGGCCCAGCCGAAGAGGAAAAGAGCAAACCAAAACGTCGACCACCCGGCCTTGTAAGACCACGCCCGGCAAATGTAATACTCTTCAGCACAAAGCAATGCGATGTAAAGCGAAGAAACACTGGCCTGGAAAACGGTCCAAACAGGAGGCACGCGGTGATGGGAGCTGCACCTGCAACTGCCCTCGAGCACTGGCTCACCGCGTAATGCCCCTGATATGGCCAGCGCCGAGGCAAGAGCCCTGGAAATCAAGCCCGAAGGATCTTTGGGTTATCATGCATTCCTGTGCTCGGATTTCACTTTCGGGGAATCGGCGGCAGCGAAAATCCTTCGGGCCTGAAAATTCAGCCCGACGGATTTGGGGGAATCTCATGCTTTCCTGTACTCCGAATTCGCTCTCGGAGGGTGGGAAGCAGCCGAAACCCATCGGGCCTGGAAATCAAGCCCGGAGGATCTTTGGGTTCTCATGCATTCCTGTGTTCGGATTTCACTTTCGGGGAATCGGCGGCAGCGAAAATCCACCCTCGGAAGGATGAGATCCCCCCAAATCCTTCGGGCTCGATTTTCAGGCCCGATTGGTTTTCGCAGCCGCCGACCCTCCGAAAGCGAATTCCGAAAGCAAAAAAACAACAAATTCTCCCAGATCAGCCGGGCTCGATTTTCAGGCCCGATGGGTTTTCGCTGCTGCCAACCCTCCGAAACCGAATTCCGGGCACGTGAAAGCTCGAAACTCCCCCAATGCATTAGGGCTCGATTTTCAGGCCCGATGGGTTTTCGCTGCCGCCGACCCTCCGAAAGCGAACTCCGAACGCAAAAAAGAACAAAACGGCTGGCGCGACTGCGGCTTGCGACACAGATGCACACGCACACACACACACACACACACGCGCGCAAACACGCACCGTGTTACTGGTAGCTTGTAAAAGTCCTGGAATGCATAGGGACGGCGCGGGCCCGTCAGACGTACGCACAGAGAGGCGACCTCTTACTCCCCCCCCTCCCCCTCACTCCTCCTGTCCCCCAGAGGAGCCATCGAAGGCCCAGCCGAAGAGGAAAAGAGCAAACCAAAACGTCGACCACCCGGCCTTGTAAGACCACGCCCGGCAAATGTAATACTCTTCAGCACAAAGCAATGCGATGTAAAGCGAAGAAACACTGGCCTGGAAAACGGTCCAAACAGGAGGCACGCGGTGATGGGAGCTGCACCTGCAACTGCCCTCGAGCACTGGCTCACCGCGTAATGCCCCTGATATGGCCAGCGCCGAGGCAAGAGCGCAACTGCAAAACGAGGCGGCCACGCCGAAGCTCGACGACGACGACGACGACGACAAAGACGACGACGGACGACGACGACGACGACGACGACCACGTTCGCCCTATGCAGCTGCGTGTGGCGCATGGCGTGGCCCTCTCTTCGCGTACTGCGCGGCGAGGGGCAGTGAGGGCGCAGGGCGCGGCGGAGCGAGCGCGCAGAGGCCCGCCAAACTCACTGCGGAGGACGATCCGCGTAAGAAAGGTGCCGAATTTGTCGGAGCCGCTGAGGCTGTAGGTGTTGCTCCCTATGGGGCACGCTCCGAGTGAAGGGTGCGCTGAACTGGGCCTAAGGCCCGCATTCCAGAACCCTCACTGGTGCCGATGGTGGAACCGCCAGTGGGGCACAATCCGCGTGATCACTGGGGGGCACGACCCGTGTGAGGGGCGTGCTGGCATGCGAGGGAGGCGGCATGCGAACGCGCCCTCTGGGGCAGCAAATGGACCTTTCTGCTGGGCACGATCCGCGCCCACGGTGCGCCGAAAGGGGCCCGGGTGGCGCACGGTAGCGTACCCACCGAGACAAGGTGTGGAGCTCCCAGTGAAGCACGAGCCGCATGAGGGTATGCGACGCCATGCGGGCATGCCCACCTCCGCCTCTTCTTCCTCCTCCTCCTCCTCCTCGTCTTTCTCGATGTCCTCGATCCTCCTCGATCTCGGTCCTCCTCCTCCTCCTCCTCCTCCTCCTCCTCCTCCTCCTCCTCCTCCTCCTCCTCAAGGAGGTCGTACGCGGGGCTCCCTGTGGGGCACGGTCTGTGTGAATGAGGGGCGCGCCGATTTTAGCGGGGTGCGACATGCGAACGCGCCTGCTGGGGCTGCAAATGGAGCTCCCTGCCGGGCACGATCCGTGTGGATGGGTTCGCCGAAATGGTCTAATGTATGAGGAAGAAGACGACGAAGGAGGTGGAGGCGGGAAGGAAGGAGGGGAGACGCGCGGCGCGTCGACGAGAACATGAGGGCCCATGCTCGTAATACACTATTGCGCAGCAAAGCAACGCATTGCAAATCAACGCAATGCACGCCGATGCACAGAACACCCATGGCATGCAATACAGAATGATACATTACAGTTCACATGATACAATGATGTGCAAATACGTGCACGTGAATGCAGTACAATGCACATCAGCGCAATGTGTAAACCAACACAATACAATACATATTAATCCAATGCAGAAAAACGCGAAGCAGTACGTAACACAGCACTACAGTGCAAGCACATACAAGTGCAATGCCAATGCAATGTAGAGTCATGCTAAGCGATGCAAAAATATGCAGCGCACTGCAACATAAGAGTATGCAACGAAACGCAGCGTGATGCTAAACAACGAACGCAATGCGACGCATTACAGCGCAACGGCAACACATGCGAACCATTAAACGGCCAAGCGAAAGCAGTGCAACGCAACGACATCATACACCAATACGCCACCATGCAATGCCAAACAAACCAAAACAACATAGGGCAAATTATAACCAAGAAGGAAACCAATGGGGATCCCCAAATAACCACAAGAGGGTAATCCCGTGTTGATATCGTGAAACGGCTGGGTTTTCCAAATTCTCCCGTGACGGTGGGCCCCCCGGGGTCCATCCCGCTGCGTAGCCGTTGGGCTTTACTCGCAAAAGAAGTTAGGACCCTCCCTCGGGCAAAACCTGCTTGGGGGAAATCTGCGAGGGCACGAGGGAGTTCTCTCTCACAGACGCAGCACTGACAAATCATGACAAATCAACCGTGTGGGACCGCCTGGAAATCTACTTCGATTCGGTCCCCGGGGATGGCACGTCGTGGTCATGTGATTGTGCTTGTTTGTGGACAAGCCCTTCACAGTGGAATCTCTGGAGAAGCCATAATTGTCCAGCAGCTGGAGCACATCCTCGTCCAGCATGCCATCCTGCTTGGGGGCAGAGGCTTACACATGTTTCCGATGATGACATCGGGCCAACGGCAGCGCAGGTTAACAGTCGGTGCCGATCCACTGGATAATCGTCAGAGAGCTGCATGCGGAGGCCTGGAGCACAAATTGGGGCGATACGAACCAATCCTAAAACTTATCAGCGCCACCGGGGATGTGAGGAGGTGCAGAATAATATGAGGACGAGGAGATCGGCGCTGGAGTCCCCTGGCGGCGCCTCCAACTCCGCCCCTGGCGCGCTCCGCGCGCCAGGGAGGGGGATTCAACGCCGATCCGAGAAATCCGCGCTTAGCTACAACAGTTAATGCTATCCAATGTTTTTACCTAACAGCTCTTGCTGATTGGTTTCTAGTGGTATCAAAGAGAAAATCTTGACGCCCCAGGAAAGTCTGGGCGGGATCCAGACAGTTCCGGACAAAAGCGCAGCCCCAGGAATCCTTAGGAATCCTTAGGAATTCGTAGGATTCCTTAGGAATCCATTCCCAGAACACCACTCCCAGGCCACATTTTGAATGCCCAGAACCAACTGTAGGCCACTTCGTGTTCTTCGTGTTCCCAGAACACCATTCCCAGGCCACATTTTGAATGCCCGGAGCCAACTGTAAGCCACTTCGTGCTCTTCGTGTTCCCGGAACACCATTCCTGTACAATATTTTGATTGCCCGGAGCCAACTATTGGCCACTTCGTGTTCTTCGTCTTCCCAGAACACAATTCCCAGGCCACATTTTGAATGCCCGGAGCCAACTATTGGCCACTTCGTGTTCTTCGTGTTCCTAGAACACCACTCCCAGGCCACATGTTGAATGCCCGGAGCCAACTGTAGACCACTTCGTGTTCTTCATGTTCCCGGAACACCATTCCTGTACAATATGCTGATTGCCCGGAGCCAACTGTTGGCCACTTCGTGATCTTCGCGTTCCCAGAACACCAGTCCTGTGCCATATTTTGAAGCCCGAGCTGAGGCAGGCTGAGCCCGAGGCAGGCTGAGGCCGAGGCTGGCTGAGGCTGAGGCTGAGGCAGGCTGAGGCAGGCTGAGGCTGAGCTGAGGCTGAGGCTGAGGCTGAGGCTGAGGCAGGCTGAGGCTGAGGCTGAGGCGCAGGCTGATGCAGGCTGAGGCTGAGAGGCTGAGCTGAGCTGAGGCAGGCTGAGGCTGAGGCTGAGGCTGAGGCTGAGGCTGGGAGGCTGAGGCTGAGGCTGAGGCTGAGGCTGAGGCAGGCTGAGGCTGAGGCTGAGGCTGTGGCTGAGGCTGAGGCTGAGGCAGGCTGAGGCTGAGGCTGAGGCAGGCTGAGGCTGAGGCAGGCTGAGGCTGAGGCTGAGGCAGGCTGAGGCTGAGGCTGAGGCCGAGGCAGGCTGAGACTGAGGTCGAGGCAAGCCGAGGCGGGCTGAGGCTGAGGCTGAGGCTGAGGCAGGTCGAGGCTGAGACAGGCTGAGGCTGAGGCTGAGGCAGTGGCTGAGGCAGGCTGAGGCTGAGGCAGGCTGAGGCTGAGGCCGAGGCAGGCTCAGGAGGCTGAGGCAGGCTGAGGCTGAGGCAGGCTGAGACTGAGGCTGAGGCAGGCTGAGGCTGACACTGAGGCTGAGGCTGAGGCTGAGGCTGATGCAGGCTGAGGCTGAGAGGCTGAGGCAGAGGCTGAGGCAGGCTGAGGCTGAGGCTGAGGCCGAGGCAGGCTGAGGCTGAGGCTGAGGCAAGCCGAGGCAGGCTGAGGCTGAGGCTGAAGCTGAGGCAGGCTGAGGCTGAGGCTGAGGCAGTGGCTGAGGCTGAGGCAAGCTGCGGCTGAGGCAGGCTGAGGCTGAGGCTGATGCAGGCTGAGGCTGAGGCAGGCTGAGGCTGAGGCTGAGGCTGAGGCTGAGGCTGCTGAGGGCTGAGGCTGAGGGCTGAGGCTGAGCAGGCTGAGGCTGAGAGGCTGACGCTGAGGCTGAGGCAGGCTGAGGCTGAGGCTGAGGCCGAGGCAGGCTGAGGCTGAGGCTGAGGCAAGCCGAGGCAGGCTGAGGCTGAGGCTGAAGCTAAGGCAGGCTGAGGCTGAGGCTGAAGCTGTGGCTGAGGCTGAGGCAAGCTGCGGCTGAGGCAGGCTGAGGCTGAGGCTGATGCAGGCTGAGGCTGAGGCAGGCTGAGGCTGAGGCTGAGGCAGCCTGAGGCTGAGGCTGAGGCAGGCTGAGGCTGAGGCCGAGGCAAGCCGAGGCAGGCTGAGGCTGAGGCTGAGGCTGATGCTGAAGCTGGCTGAGGCTGAGACAGGCTGAGGCTGAGGCTGAGGCAGGCTGAGGCAGAGGCAGGCTGAGGCTGAGGCCGCGTCAGGCGAATCCTTCGGAATCCTTAGGATCCCCTAGGAATCCGTAGGAATCTCTAGGAATCCCCAGGAATCAGGATTCCTAAGGATTCCTCAGGTTTCCTAAGGATTCCTATGTATTCCTAAGGATGCCTTAGGAATCCCTAGGAATCCTTAGGATGCCATTGGATCCTAAGGGCGTTGCCACTGCGACTGTCATTGCGAATGCGACTGCGACTGCGAGAACAGCAGAATTCTACAACTGGATTCTCACCTGAATCTTAAGGGGAATGCTTCCAGATATGCTTATACACATCGCTGTTAGCTTGCTTTGCCGGGATAATTTCTTCGAGGAGTGCAAATCTCAAGACCGCACTGCGATGGCACGTCAGCGTCTCCGCTTGAAGAAAGGTGCACGCGGTACACCCCTGTCTGGGAAGTTCCCTGCGGGACCCATCCAGGGCCATCCCGCAACGTGCAGGCTGCGGGAAAAAGGGGAAGCCGCGGCCGCCCGCTGTCGGAGAGGCACTCCAGGCGGGGGTACCGGGCACCATACAATCAGCGCGTACAACACAACTGCACGGTAAGGATGCAGGGGCCCTGGAAGGCCATGCGGACACTCTTCGAGCGGGGCGCGGCCCGCGAAAGTGGCCAGGGATGGGCCGAAGGGGAAGGATGCAAGGGTAACCTTTGAACGTCGCTCATCCTTACTATGCGCGTTGGCTGCACCGGAAGTGCGACGGGATCGGAAGGGGAAGGACCAACGTGGGGGCTGACCTCACGGGGGCAAAGCGGAAGGCACACAGTCCAGCGAGGGGCTGGGTCTGACAGGGTGATGCGGGGAAAGGACGTAGTGGAGGGAGGACACATCGGAAGGGTGGTGCAACATAAGCATAACTGATCACCTTGCAGAGCTCTCTAACTTGCCATGCACTTCTTTCACCCCTCCTTGCTCATCCACCTTCTCCCGACTCCCTTTCCCCTCACCCCTCTGCCCACCAATGGAAAGAGAGGACGCAAAATGCTGGGAAGATTGGTCCCCGCTCGTCCATCCTCTCTCCTCTTTCCCTTCCGCTCCCCTCCACCTGAAGGGAGATACAGACGCTTTCTGCTCAGGACTAACCAAGATAGAGCAAACTACACAATGAAAGTAATCCCTAGACAGTAGCGCTGCAGGAGAACCAGCGAGCCGACATCAAGGTGGGCGTGCTGGGTGTCATTCGTCGTGTTGTGTTTTGTCGCCTGCTGTTGTTGATGCGCGTCCTGTGTAGTTGGGAAGTAAGTCGGTACTAAGTGCCCCAATGATTGTCAAGGTTTTGGTACTGGTCGCTGCGGTGTGACACCGTGTCGTCGTTGAGTGTGATGATTGTCGCCGCTTCTCCTTGTTTGATCCTGGCTAGCTATTTTTCCGTGATGCTCCAGCCTGCTAAGTCCGCAGTTGCTTCTTCGCCCAGTCCTGTGCTGATGCGGGTGTGATGTTGTGTGGTGTCCTCCTCCTCCTCCTCCTCCTCCTCCTCCTCCTCGAGGGCGAGCCGGGGGCGTGCTCGCCCGGCGGCGTCTGGTCGCACTGCGCGGCCCGTCGGCCGAGCCAGGCCGTCCCCCAGCAGTGCGTGGGGGGGCCTCGCCTCCTCCCTCGCTGCCCTGCCTCCTCCGCCTCCCTTCGGCTGCACGCGAGAGCGGCCCTGGGCAGGGGTGCCCTTTGGTGCGCGGCTTTTTGGAGGGCGCGAGGAGGCCAAACACAAGCGCACCAAGACGCTACTAGCGCACCAAAGGTCACTCCGGCGAAGGGTCACTCTTACGTGTAGTCGATCTCTGCACAGGAACGGCCGGCAGAGATTCGTTCCACCCCTGGTCTGGGTCAGGGGCTGCGGCTCGCAAGCCTGCTTTTCTTTTTTTTCACTCGACGAAATTCGATCAGTTCGCTTTCCTACCGGTTTCGGTGATCGTGCCCGCGCCCAGCCTGCATAGCGCATGTGAATTCAATTGTTCTGCTTCGAGACAGGCTTCTCTTGACCCGACGGCTCTCATGATTTGTCGCCGCGCCGTTTGTTCTCGACGCGCCCAAATGGACGACGCCGTCACCACGGCAAACCCACGGTAAACCAGCAAACCCTGCGTCCCGCGCCCAAGTAGACGACGCCAGCACCGCGGCAAACCCCATGGCAAACTCATCGCGCCCGAAGCGGCGTTTGCCCTGGTGGCCGCCCGCGGCGCTCTCCCCATGACGCAATGCCACACGTCGGCACAAACAGCGCGGCGACATCAGCTACCGAACGAGTGCTGCCAAGGATTTTCCAAAAATAGCCAGGGTTGTGCGAGCGCGGGGGTTCCTCGCGGTCGACCAGCGACGCCTCCGGGATCTCCTTGTACCACGGGTGTTGCCGGATGTCCGCGATCGTCAGGCGCTTCTCCGGGTCCGTCTCCAGTCCGCCGAACCCCAGGTTCAAGGTTTTCGGACGCCTTCGTCGGTGCTCGGCAGTTTTCCAGCATCGTGGTGTGTTCCAGCAGCTGCGCTTCGCCGAGGGCATTTAAGGGGTGCCCAGATCTTCCCGAACGGCTGCCAGAGACACACGCCATGACCCCAAAGTCAAATTCGGCGGCGCGCCCAGGGGGAGAGGTCAGAGGGAGGCGGCCTTCGCAGAAGGTGGGTGGGCTTCTCAGAAGCCTTCTGGCCTTCCGAGAAGTGCCTCCGAGGAAGGCTCAGAAAACTGCACAGAAGGCCGAAGGACTTCTGACACGGCCCACGGGGTCTCGAGTCCGAGGAGGCCCCGGGGCAAGCGGACGACATCCACGCGCGCCGTGCCGCGCCCGCGCGAGCGGCGCCGCCGCCTCCTCCGCCTCCGCCTCCTCCTCCTCCTCCTGCTCCTCCTCCTCCTCCTCCTCCTCCTCCTCCTCCTCCTCCTCCTCCTCTTTCTCCTCCTCCTCCTCCTCCTGCTGAATCCGCGACCCAGGCACTAGTGCACCTTTAGGACCAGTGGCCCCCTGGGTCAGGCGTATCGGCCGGCAGTCCCGCCCACGCTTCTGGGGGTGTTCCCATCCAGGGGCTTTTCCTAAACACTCAGGTGGGGGGGGCGACATCTCACCTGGGTGCCGGCGACAGGGCGCACCTCCCGTGACGAAAACAAAATCGAAACATCCTGAAACTACATGGCGTCCCCTGCGGAAAGAGCCGCATCCTCCTCCTCCTCCTCCTCCTCCTCCTCCTCCTCCTGCTCCTCCTCTTCGTCCCCCTCCTCCTGGGAAAGCCCCGCGCTTCCCCCCCGGGCGCGCCGCTGGCGCGGAGGAGTGCGAAGACGCGCGGCTGTCCCCAGAAGTCCGCTCAGCGCAGCGAGCGAGCACGGTGATCCGGCCAAGCTGAGACCTTGCCAGCCATGCCGCGGTACAGGCACAGACACCCAGGGGTGCAAGAGATGGGCTGGGGCAGTGAATGTGGTCGTGGGGCCGCCCACATATGTCCAGCACCGACATTAAACGTCCTGAGAGCGGTGGTTGCTTTTATCTCGATCGGATCGCACGTCTTTTCAAAGGACCCCTTACACTTACCCGCTGCGGGGGGTCCGTTTGCTAGGGTGAGGCGGCGTGTGGAGGCCACAATGCGAAGTAATGACTTTGGGATGAGACTGGTGAGATCTGGCGCCGTGAACCACCCCAGTCGCGGGTGGGTCACGGGCCTGGTCGCAGGTGGGTCGCGGGGTGGGTCGCGGGTGGGTCGTGGGGTGGGTCGCGGGTGGGTCGTGGGTGGGTCGCGGGGCGGGTCGCGGGGTGGGTCGCGGGTGGGTCGCGAGCTGTGTCGCGGGGAGGACGCCGACAACAACAACAACAACAACAACAACAACAACAACAACAACAACAACAACAACAACAACAACAACAACAACACCAACAACACCAACACCAACAACAACAACAACCACAGCAACAACAACAACAACAACACCAACACCAACACCAACAACAACAACAACAACAACAACAACAACAACAACAACAACAACAACAATCACTTTACCCGAACGCTCAGTGTTCTCACCAGTGCCAGGGTTTTCATGCGACGCCAGCCAATACCCCCACTTTGTGGGGGGGCAGTGCAAGCTCTACCAAATATCCACACGACTCTTCGCCACCACCCACACCCAGCTTCCCGCCCTATGACGTTCGGACACTTCACTTCGTGGCCTGCGGACGACCGTGGCTACTACACTGGCGTGGAGTACACACCCACAGAAGTTGTTAGGACAGCGCGCGCGGGTAGAAATTTTGAAAAGTCGTGCAGGTGTTTTTCGAGGACCTACGGTGCGATTCGTGTGATTTTATGATGCGCGGTGCTAAAATTCTTAAGAAGCCCAATGGTTTTTGGAGATTTCGGCGTGCGCGCGCGAAGAAAAAACGAATGTGTCCCGCATGGTATTATTTGACAGGGATGATGGCCCTGGCAGGTGCGCAACCGTTGTCGCAGAAGTTCGAAAAAGTTGCTCGCAAAAGCCCGTTTGACAGAAATGTTTAAAAAGTGTTGGGTTTCCTACGAATCCGCAAGAGCGCGCGGGATGAGATTTTGACATTTTTTTGTTGAAAAACCATTGGTTTTTTGATGTTTTTATGTTAAAATCGCTCCGAACACTAAGCTTTTGGAAGGATTTCGTCTTGCGCGCGCGAATGTCCACTTTACCTTATTTTTTGCAAGGGATTCTTGAAATTTGATTATATTAGAACAAGAAATGTCATTTTATAGTGTTTTTTGCAAGGGAAAGCGGATTACAACAAAACAACCGGATCTTGATCACATCGAATTACCTGAGGCTTCCTCACGAAAATGATGAAAATGTAGCTGCGGCCTAGGCGGCGCAGGGGGGCCGTGCACCAGGGGTCCCAACAATAATTATTCTTTAGAATTAATAATGTTCAACAACAACAACCACAACAACAACAACAACAACAACACCAACACCAACAACAACAACAACAACACAACAACAACAACAACAACGACGACGACGACGACGACAACAACAACAATAATTTTAAGACTGATCGCCCTTATATGCTCGAGTGTCCTATAACGCGTATATCCCAAACCCTCGATACCCGCCCTCTTCATCTTCGATCGAACCCCTTTGGGGGGTATACTTTTCTTCCCTGCAGGCCAGGCCCCGGCAAGCGGCGGGGCGGCCGCGGACCGTCGGCCTGGCCAGCGGCAGCGCTGCTCGGCGGGGCGGCCGCGGACCGTCGACCCGACCCCAAGAGGGACGGACAGGGGACCGACCACGACGACGACGACGACGACGACGACGACGACGACGAGGACGAGATCGTCGAAGACGACGGCGACGACGACGACGGCGACGACGAGCGAGAGCGAGAGCGAGAGAGAACGACAGCAGGGCCACGAAGGGCACGAAGTAGGCCACGAAGGGCGACAGCGGGGACACGAAGGGAATGCGTATGGGGCCACGAGGCGCGCGAACGAGCGGGGGCCACGAAGTGCAGATAATAAGGGGCCACAGAAGGGAACTATGGGACCACTGAGGGTAGCAACTGGGCCACGTAGGACAATGAGGGGGACACAAATGGCGACAGCGGGGCCACGAAGGGCATGCATATGGGGCCACAACGGGCGCGACTCCTGGGTGCCTGGGTGTCGGGGGCGCGGCGCTTGGGCAAATTGCAGGAAATTCCAACGCAAGGCCATTCTTCAATAAGTTGCAAGCAAGTCTCCAGCGAGAGCGCGACTCCAGAGCGCCGGGAGAGCGATTCCTGAATAAATTGTAAGGAAGTCCCAAGCGAGAGCGCGATTCCTGAATAAAACGCGAGGAAGTCTCGGGCGGGAACGGGGGTCCTGGCTAAATTGTAGGGAAGTCTCGGGCGGGAGCCGTTGTTGTTGTCACCCGGGGGCCAGGGGCCTAGTCTGAGCAGGAATATTTTCCCTGTCAAAAAACAAGGTGCGAGCTTCGAGGGGCACACTTTGATTGAGAAAAAACGGTATGCACCAGTGGGGGGGGGATCAACACAAATTATTCTTCAGAAGTGAAAATTCAACAGGAACAACATCAACAGCAACAGCAACAACAACCACAACAGCAGCAGCAACAGCAACAGCAGTAGCAGCAACAACAACAACACAACAACAACAATAACAACAATAACAACAATAACAACAAGAACAACAACAACAACAACAACAACAACAACAAACACAACGACAACAATTACAGCAACAACAACAATCCGTTTAAAACTGTTTGCTCTTATCTGCTAGCGTGCCATTCAATATGCATATCCCAAACCCTGGATACCCGCCCTCTTCGTCTTCGATCGTGCCCCCACTTGGGGGGTATATTCATTCCCTGCCACGTGTGGTTGGTGAAGCCCTTGAAAACGAAGGGTAACAGATAACGGGGGAGGGTGAGGACGAAGGGATCGGAGAAAGGGAAGGGAAGGGCAAGAAGGACGGAGGACGATGATTTGCGCTGTGGGTGGCGATTCAGCTTGCGTCATGGCTTGCGCCAGCCACTCCAACACAGGTTAAAAAAACATTTCGCCGTGGGTAGCGCCATATACAGCGCCACGTACCGCCCCCTTGAACAAAAAAACATATCGTGTCAGGGGCCACGAAGGGCGACAGCGGGGCCACGAAGGGCATGCATTTGGGACCACGACGGGCGCTAACGACCTGTCCGTTGCGCGCCCGTCCCCCGGCGCCCTCCGTGCCGTCGTCTCCGCCGAGCCGGACTCTGCGTGCAATCGCTTCGCGAGTGCTGTCCATGCGGACTTCAACTACGCCTCCAGGAAGACGGCGGCCATGGCCGTGGCTGGGAGCCCGGGCCCAGGCTGGGTGGGCTGCCCCGTTGTTGGCCAGAAATTGGTCCTTGGCGTTCTCTTTGATGCCTACCTTTCGTTTCAACCCTTGTTGCGCTCAACCCTGGCCCGTGGTCACGCATTGTTCGAAGCGTTTTTCGGCGCCGTGGAGAGCGGGGGATTCGGCCTCCCAGTGCTTACTGCGCAGGTCCCTCTCCAGGTCGAGGCCGCCATCCTATGCCCCTCCCCCTTCTTGCTCTTGGCCCAGCGCGCTGAATACGAATTGAACCGTATGCAGGCCATGTGGGCCAGACGGCTCCTGGCGCGCGCCACTGGCCCCCTGTGTCTGCCGAGGTGGCTGTTGTGCAATGCGGCTAGACGTGCCGGTTGGGCACGCGGATGCTTGAACGTGCAATCATGGCGCGCGCCCGCCTGCTGGCGCAGCCTGCAAACCATCCTGGCGCCCGCATGCTCTCGTTAGTGCGTTCCCTTTCGTGCACCACCTGGGCGAGCGTCGGCCCGCATGGCGGAGCTGACGCCGCCAATCTCGGACATCGATGTTCACCCGGAGTTCCGCCACCCGCTGCGCAATGCCCGATGCTCGCTGGAGCTGCGTCGATCGTTTCTGCGCGACTTTAAACTCCAAGTGGTCCGCCTGGCCCTGCGGGCGAGTGATTTACCGGCGTTCCAGCGTGCAGCGTGCGCCCGCCTGCCCACGCTCACATTATGTCCCATGCCGTGCTTGTTCCTGGACCCCACCAGCTACCGGTGGGCATGCTCAGCCTCGACTTTGGCCCGCATATGTGGCGCGAGTTCCGCATGTGGGTCATGGCGCGCATGTCCAGGGCATGGCCCCTTCCTGTGCTTGGCGTGCCCTGCCTCTGTGCCCGCTGTGCTGTGGTGCGGCGCGGCGCCCTGCCGGTGTATATAGCCCATGCTCTTTGCGGGTGCCCCGGGCTGATCGTGCGGCGCGCGGAGTTGGAGACCCGAGCCCTGCTCCCACCGCTGTCGCAGGCGGGCGTGTACATGTACCAGCTTTTTCGCGAGGGGCCGCCGCCCGCACAAAGATAGCACCGCGTACTCTTCGTGGCGCGCGCCCTGCATGACTCGATCAGCCCGGACCCGTTCTGCCACAAGGAGGCCGCGTGACGCACGGACGGGGCTAGGCCTGTGCGCCCGAGGGGCCTGGTGCAGCCGCCTGGCACCGTGCGTCTGGGGCGGCAGTCCATCCGTCCCCCCTTGCCTGGCCACCTTATGGTGTCTCCCGCCTCTCCCCTTCCCCTCCGCCGCTTCGCACACCTTCCCTGCCGTTGCCTGCCCCATTGCCGTGTGCGGCTAGGGGGGCTGGCAGGGGCGCTGCCTCGCTCTTTTTTCCAAGGTGCGAGCCAGGGAGGGGTCGCACGGGCCGCGAGGCCAGCGCGCCGTTGCCTGCACTGGCGCCTGGGCTGACCCATGACGGGGGTGAAAGACCCTACCCAGGACGGGGTCAGCCCCGTGGCCCTTGCCCTGGGATCACAGGGGCGGCTGCAACCTGAGCAGGCCGCGCGCGGGCGCCGGGGCGGCGCGTGACCGCGCGCGGCGCTCTGGACCCCGCCGCTGCGACATGAAATGAAATGAAAAGGAAGGGCCCGGGCGGCCAGGTCGAGCAGGCGGGTTGCTGAAGCATGCGTCCTGCATGAATCGCGAGGAAGTCCCGAGCGACAGCTCAATTCCGAAATCAATCGCGAGGAAATCCACAGCGGTAGCGTCACTCTTGAATGTCGAGGGCATGGCGTCTGAATACATTGCGAGGAAGTCCCACGCGAGAGCCCGATTCCTGAATAAACTGCGAGGAAATGCCGCGCGAGAGCGCGACTTGGGAATAATTGGTGAGGCAGTCTCAGGCATGAGCCGTTATTGTTGTTGCAGTTCGGGGCCCGACGGCGCAGTTTGAGGAGGAACCCTTTCCCTGATAAAAAAAAACAGGGTGCGAGCCCCAGGAAGGGCACTTCAATTGACCAGAACACACATGTTACCAGAAGGGTGGATCAGCAACAGTTATTCTTCAGTGAGAGATCAACGCAACAACAACAAGCAGAATCCGCGCCGCGAAGTCCCACTTCAGCCACGCACCTGGGGACAGTGAACGACCGTTCGGCCCCCTCACTCTGAATATCGGTGACACCATGAACAGAAGCCTCCCAACAACGGACCCACGAAGCCTCCCAACAACAGACCCACCGCACCAGAAGCATCCTGGAGGCACGAGGTGACGGGAGCCGGACCTGAAAATGCCCTCGAGCACAGGATCGCCACACCGTGAACAGGAGCCTCCCAACAACGGACCCACTTCACCAAAGTCATCCTGGAGACACGCGGTGAAGATGCCCTCGAGCACGGGATTGCCGCACAGTGCCCCTGATGCGGCCGGCGCCGAGGCGAGAGCGCCATTTGGAAAACGAGGTGGCTTCGCCGAAGCAGGAGTGGGAGTCAGAGGCAGCGCGAGCAAAACATGTCGGATCATTTCATGGACCAGAGGCTGTAAGGGGGAGGAGGAGGAAGACGCCGATGACGCACAAATGGGGCGATGCCCACCTTATCCCCCTGCTCCTCCCACCCTCTCCTTTCTCACTTCCGCCAGTTTCTCCTGGTCCTCCTGCACCTCCGGCTCCTCCTCCTCATTCTTCTTCTCCTCGTCCTCCTTCTCCTCCTCCTCCTCCTTACAGCATGCTTCGCAGATTGAAGCATTGTAGAACTACATTGCAAAGGTCTTGCGTGGGAGCCGTTTTCAACGCAGTCAGGCGACCGGGAACGCACACTCAAGCTTACTGACTCAATACGTACCCACTGTCTCTTCTCACCATCACTTACAAGTTCACTCAGACATTCTTTCGCACGCTGGCTCGCATTTGCACGCAAATCGTACCCAAACAATCACCCACACCCTCACTCGCACTCATTATTACTTTCGCTTTCACGCAAACTCTCACTTCCTCAGTCACATACGTTCTATTTCTCGTGCGACCTGCATGTGTTCACCACAAGGTAGCAACCCGCAGCCGGGCCCCACAAGACGCGCCGACCGAGGATCTTACACGGGTCTGTTCGGGACGACGTTGATGTCGATTGGATAGGAGTGTGTGTGTCTGATGTAGCAGATGGGCTTCCTCTGACCGCAAGAACTGCACTCGGGCGTTCCAAAGAAGCAGGCGACCGAAGGGAACGGTTCGGGTCCGTTTGGTGTGACAGTGGTA